AACTCACCCAGAATCACGATGGAGAAACTCTTGTGATATAGTCAGTAGAGGGTTGTGCTGTTAACACAAAAGGCTCAGAGACTTGAAACTACCAGCTGCTCTGAGGCAGAAATGTGGGAATTCTCCCCTTTTTCGATTTATAGCCTCAGAAAAGCAAATGAATCAGAACCAACTCAGTGGTATTGAGCTTTTGAGGGAATTAACTTGCAAGAAACCCTGGATTCTGTTTCCAAGAGGTCACAACCTTGAAAAATCTTATTGAGCAATTTTCCTATGCACACAGGGAATCAGTATAATAAAAAATGTAGGAAGCACTATCTGGTTTTTGGGATTTGTTTTGTTTGTTAAAATGTGATTTGAGTCAATTGGCAAGTTTATTTGGAGAGGAAAGAGACCTCAAGTAAGCAAGTCATTTTTGAAAAACAACAATGGAGCAGAAGGCATAGCACTCTCTGATCTCAAAACCAGCTCTACAGCTATAATGACCAAAACATTATGGTACTTGTACAATGACATACATAAACCAATGGAAAAGACTCGAGAACCCATAAATTAACTCATCTGGTACATAGCAAGCAAACAGAACCTATCAAATGGGGAAATGACAGCCTCTTCAACAAATGGTGTTTGCAACAGTGCACTTTTACCTGCAGAAAACTGACTCAGGATCCACATCTCATACCATAGTAAGAAAAAATAAATTCAAGATATATCTTTTATTTTAAATAAATCAATATCTGTTGAAAATCCAATGACATTAATTATAGCTTTTTACTAGTTTGTTGTTGTTTACTGTAGAGTCAAAATCGACCCATAGCTAAGTCTCTAGTGGGTTTTCACCCTTCAAAAGGTTTTCAGAGGCATTTAATCATAGATTGCCCACCCTTCTCCCACAGAGTGACTGATATATACGAACCACATGCCTTCAGGATTACAGTGCAGCTTCTCACCACTAGACCACCAGAGCTTTTTACTAGTTGTTGTTGAAGTTGATTGCCTTTGAGTCAAGCATGACTCCTAGCGACCCTATGAAAATAAGGCTTGAAGCCCCTCTACAACTATCGACATTTATCAAAGTTCATAGCGTTTCCAGAGGCATGTAGAAGCTTTGATTTGGGTGCAGTTCTTACCAACTTTGTGGTTTGGTTTGTAATTTCAAAAATCCTAGTTTAATTTTTTTTCCTTTCTTTATAATGCCTTTAAGTATGTATATTTTAAAAGTGAATTTAGCCTTTCACGATTTTTAAATTTTCATTTAAAGTGGTAAGTGCCACCACGGGTGAGTAGGAACCAACTCAGAGTAACCCTCCCCTGGTTTCCTAGGCTGTAAATACCGTAGGAGGGATCTGCTAATCTTTATCCTGTGAAAAACTGATGAGTTTGAACTGCTCACCTTTTGTTGTCAGTTCAATGCATTGTGCATTACGCCACTGAGGCTCTTTTTCAAAGTGGTGGAAGAGTGTAAGACATGAATCCAGTCCAGGCAGCGCTTGATTACAGCGAGCAGGGCCACGCACCTGTACTGGGAGAGGCCTGGAGAGACTGGGAGGAAGAGGGGAAGAGTCTAACCATTTTTAAATTTGTCAGAAGGATGTTACTAACATGTTGTCTTAATGAATTTGTTGATCATTTCCACATTCTGTGAAACTGTCTCTAGTTGTGTTTTGTTGTTGTTGTTTTTAATGAGCACACATGTGGATATTTTCCAGTAGGTTGGCCTGGAATTTCTTGGCATAGACAAGTAAGCACATCCAGGGCTGCCTCTGCTTGTTGAAACAGTTCAGTTGGTATTCCATCAATTCTGGAATTGTCTTTTCCCCAATTCCTTAAGTGAAGCTGAATTCTTCCATGAGCACAATTGGTTTTCAAGCCTCTACTGCCTCCTGAAGTTCCTGTTCACTGACCAGCATTTTGGGATGCAGTTACTCTGTGCAGGTGTTTGTTCCTCTTTGGATGCTATTTGCATCATTAACTACTTGCTCATAGAATCTTTCCATATTGAAACTTGAAATTTGATTTTTTAATTTATAATTCATCTTGAAAAATGATGTTTGTTTCCTTTTCATTTTCTAACTCTAGTTCTTTGCACATTTCACTATAATAACTTGCTTTCTTGAGTTAGTATTTAAAAGCTTCTATTCAGCTGTCTTGCTGTATCACTTCCTCCTTTCACCTCAGTTCTGTATATTTAAGAGCAAATTTCAGTCTCTTCTGACATCCATCTTGGTATTTTCTTTCTTATCTGTATAAAGAGTTTTTCTTTTTTAATGTTTGGTGTCTTTGATGTCATCCCACAGCTTATCAGATCTTTGGGTAATTAATGTTTAATGCATCAAATTTGTTTTCTATTTTATATTTATTTATTATTTATTTTAATTTCTATTTCTAAATTCAGGTAGGGTCTACTAGTCTAGGTTGTATTCTTACTCTGATGAACTTGTCCTGGTTGTCTTAAGTAAGTTTGAACTTACATACGGTCAATTGATAATCTATTTTAGTTAGTCTTTGACCTTGTACCTTTGATCTTTTGATGCAATTTAATTTCATAGATGTAATTTTTACACCCGTATATTATGTCTGATGAAATTCATGTTTGTAGTCCTCCTTGAAGGTTTTGAACAAAGGAATATTGGCAACGAATAAGTCATTAGTTGTACAAAATTTTATCATGTATTTAATGGACGTAACTTCTATCACCAAGGCTATATTTTTGAACTACCAATTCTTTTTCGTTTCCAATTATTTAATTCACATTCCCAGTTATTAATGCATGTTGACTGGATGTTCAATCAATATTAAGCTGCGGAATTCGGTAGTAATGTTCAACATCTTCATCTTTGGGTTTTGGTGATTAATGGATAACTTTGAATAGTAGTGATATTTTCTTTTTTATAGACAAATATCATTCTTCTTCATTTTGTTATTCCCACCATGATAAACTATATTCAAAATGACCGGTATGAATCCATGTCAAATCACTAATGTCTTCTTGTTGTCATTAAGTGCCATCAAGTTGATCACAACTAATAGTGACCGTAAGAACAAAAAAGACTTTAACCCTGTTTTATAACTATTGTTGTTTCCCCAAGTTCATAGAGTTTCCAGAGGCATGTTGTTTAGGAAGTGGATACCACTCCTGCTTCCAAGTCTGTCTTTATCTGGGAGCTCCACCAAACACTTTTAACCATGTGTTACCATTATGACATTTGAGACACCAGTGGCACAGTGTTCAGTATGACAGCAATTCCAAGATTCTTCAGTGCAGCAAATCAACAGAGCAGTGCCATATCACTTAGGAGAATTTTCATTATAAAAACAAAAGTATATCAATTTTTTTTGCCCTCTTTTCCATTTTTTATAACTTTCCATTTTCATAAATTCATATTTTGTATATTCTTTATTCCATTTATTAATGGACTAATCCAATTTTTCCTTCTAATTTTAAGTGCTACTGCATCAGCAAGTGAAAATCCTTCATTTACTGAAATATGTATTCCAAACATGTTACTATACTAGACGTAATTTTGAGGCAGCAGCATTTCCCCAGTGGTGTTTTTCATGTGTTTCAACCTGAGGGCCTCATCTCTGGTGTTGCATCAGACAGTGTTCCTCGTTTAGTCTAGAAATTTTGCTGTTTAAATTGTGGTAACATTTTCACCCAGTTTAGCCCAGATAGTATTTAAAATACTAGTAGCATTGCTTCCAGCATTATAGCAACATGTAAGCTACCACAATATGAGAAACTGACAGATGATTGGTGAATTGTGAGCCTCTATTTGGGTTTAAACTACCAGTTTTATGGTTAGCAGCCATGTGCTTTAATCACTGTATCACTCAGAATCATTAATATATGACAGTCCCTGAAAGTGTAAAACGAAAAACAACCCCCAAAAAACAAATGAAAGAATGCTATACAAACAATTATAAACTAGATTTACGCTTTCTTAGCTACTTTAAGAAACTTAGTATAATATCCCAGAATTTTTTAAACTTTTAAAATAGATCCCATTTCATGGTATTTCAAAACTATTTCCAAATTCTTCTACGTCATATAGCACTGGTCTGTCCACCTGCTGTACAGAGGTAACTCGTGGTTACTGTGAAGCCTAACACTGTAACACTGATGCGTCAAATGCGAGAATGGTTACCCATGGTGGACAGTGTTTGGTGGAGCTCCCAGATTAAAACAAACTTGGAATCAGGAGTGGCATCCACTTCCATAATAGCTTGCCTCTGGAAACCCTATGAACCTGGAGAAAGGATGAAAGTCATACAAGTATTCAAGTCTTTCGTTCATAAGGTCGCTATGAGTGCCTACAACTCAATGGCATTTAACAACAGCAGTGACAGTGTGAACATATAACTTGTCACAACTAACTTTCCTTGATAATGTTGATGAATAATATTTATATTAATTTGAGATATATGTTTGATGCTTGATGCTTTAAATTTCAGTAATTAGCACCATTTGGTAAAGTACTTGTAAAGGTACAAATAATGGAGCATTCACTATTAAATAAAAGTAAAGTGAATTAGACTGGATATAATAATTTGGGAAAGGTCACGTTACTGACTTACTCTGTTTCCACAAGTCCATGTCTGAGATCTTCACATCAGTTTATAGAACACAAAATTAGTGACATTTTCTTGATATAATTTTGGAACATATTTATAAAATTAATGACATAAAATGATAAACAATTCATATACCATTCTGTCCTAGGATTTAATTCGTTACCTTCAGTTGTTATTAATTTGCCTGATCTAAATCCAATTAAAAGATAGATTTTTAGATTGAAGAAAAAAAACAACCCAGTATTTCCTCCAAAGAATCCATCACTGCCAAACTGAGAGAATGGAAAGAGCATCTGGGAATATTCAGGGTTTGAGTGTGTTTCCTGTCTCACTCCTATCCACACCATTCTTTCTTCTTTCTTTCTTGCATCTTTAAGTCTCTCCTCCTGACTTTTCTTTCCACCTCTCTTCCTCTTTTCTTCCAGGGAGAAGCTTCCAGTGGGAAACACTCATTGAGAAACTACATGGAAGAAGTGAGTTTTAAGTTTGCCTAGCTACTTAGTGCAGAATAGAAAGGAAAAATCTCCCTCTCAGACTTTATCAGTGTACATGGTTTCCAGTCCTTATGTTCACTGGCTGTAGCCAAACGATAGAATAAATAATAGTTTTTTAACTACAAGGTTTCCCCCTCAATAATAGGAAAGCTTATATATTGATTTCATTACTATGGAAATGAGGTTCAAGCTATAAAATTATGAGCTCTTGTGGCTTAGTGGTAAGAAGATGCATACACCTATCCCTGTTACCTCACTGACTGAATCAGTCCATCTCATAGAGGGTCTTCCTTTCCTGCACTGCGCATCCACCCTCCCAAGCATGACAACCCTCTCCAATTACTGATCCCACCTTGTAACACGTCCGAAGTATGTCAGATGAAGATCAGATTCCTTGCCTCCAAGGAGAAGCCTGGCTTCACCCTCTCCAGGATGAACTTGTTTGTTCTCTTAGCAGTCCATGGTATATTCAATACTCTTCTCCAGCACCACAACTCAAAGGCATCAGCTCTCCTTCTATCATCCCTAGTCATTGTCCAGTTTTTTGCTGCATAGCAAATAATTGCAAAGATCATGGCCTGGATTAGGTGCACTTTAGTTTCCAGACTGACATCAGTACTTTGGAGAAGTCTCTGATAGTAGACTTTCTGAATGCAATTCATCTTTTAATTTTCTGGTTACTGGTACCAAGAGTGTTGTTTATAGAGCCAAGCAAACTGAAGCTGTCAGCAATCTCAATCTCTTCACCATCCATGCTGATGCTGCCAATTGACTCAGTGGTGAGAATCTTTATTTTCTTAATGTTGAGCTTGAATCCATATTGAAGGCTGCAGTCCTTGACCTTCTGCAGCAAGCGCTTCAGGTCCTCCTCAGTTTCAGCAAGCAGGGTTGTGTCATCTGTATAACCCAGATTGTTGATGAGTCTACCTCTAATCCTAATGCCCCATTTCTCCTCATAGAGACCAGCCTCCCGGATAATCTGTTCCACAAATAGATTGAAAAGATACTTTAGATAGGACACATCCTTGACACCCACCCTTTGCGATTTTGAACCATGGATTATTTCCTTGCTTTGTTCTGATGACTGCCTCCTGATCGAACTATAGGTTTTGCATAAGCACAATGAAGTGTTCTGGGGTTCCTGTTCTTCTCAGAGTCAGCCACAGTTTGTTGTGATCCACACAGTCAAATGCTTTGCGTAATCAATGAAGCACAGATAGACATTCCTCTGGTACTCTCTGCTTTCAGCCAAGATACACTTGAAATTATCTATAATATCCCTAGTGCCACAGCCTCTTTTATACATATCCATATATTTTTTTATTTATATTTTTTATATTTTATTTTTATGTATATAAAAATTTATTGAAATCTTCATAAATTTCTATTTAATTACCAACATTTTTTGATATCCTAATAAATAATGCTGTGTTCCAGCAAGTTGGACCCACTCATATATGAGCCTCCAGTGGGTTTTTAGAGGTTATAAATTGCATGGGAGGAAATTGCTCAGCTTTTTCCACAGGCCATATAATGGATTCAAACCTTTAGGTTGACAAGCAATTCTATGTGACTTAGCTACCAATAAATAATAAGCATTTGTTCTTTTTATTTATATATATAAAAAATAAGACAAGATTAATTCCTATGTGAACTGATAATTTTTTCTATGATAACATTCATTCATATGACAAACACTATTGAAGGATATTATTTGTGCAGCCATGATACAAAGTACTGTCTTAATAACTAAAATATCTGGTAGACTGGATATAATAATCTGGAAAAGGGCGTGTAAATGAAAACCCTCTGGAGGGTCAACTAAATGTAGGTTCTGACTCAACAGCACATAACAACAATATACTTATTTTGAGAGCTACAAGATGTTCTGTGGCATAGATGTTCTGTCTATGTGCTTCATTTGAGATTTCTCAAACAGTAATAGTAGACAGAGTATAGAAAAATTTGTCTAAAGTTAAACCACAGGGGTCACCAGGTAGCCATCTGGATTAGTTACTGGTAAAGAAACCAGAAAAACAGTAGTTTGATGATGGTATTGTAACAGTACATAATATTTGGTTTAAATATTGCTTCTCAGCAAAGCATAATAATTTTCTCTTAAATAATTAATTTTCATTGTTGTGGTTGTTATTTACCATCGAGTCACTTGCAACTCATAGTGACCCTATATTAAAGAACCATGAACCCTGCTCTATCCTGTGCCAACTTCACTCTCTCCAACACACCTATGCCTATTACCTCAATCACTGAATCAATGCATCTCATCAAGGGTCTTCCTCTCTTGCTCTGTCCCTCCACCCTTCCAAACATAATGTTCCCTCTCCAAGGATTGGTCCTTCCTTGCAACATGCCCAAAATATGTCAGTCAAAGCTTCAGAATCCTTGCCTCCAAGGAGCAGCCCTGTTTTATCATCTCTAGGATGAACCTGTTTGTTCTCCTAGCAGTACATGGTATATTCGACACTCTTCTCCAGCACCACAACTCACATGCATCAATTCTCTTTCTATCATCCCTAGTCACTGTCTACCTCTCCAATGCATAGCACACAATTGTGAAGACTATAGACTGGATCAGGCGCAGCTTGGTCTCCAGCCTGACGTCATTGTTCTTCAGTACTCTGGAGAGATTCCTGACAGCTGACTTTCCCAGGGCAATTCATCTTTTGATATCCTGGCTGCTGGTACTGAGAGTGTTGATTATGGAACCAACCAAACTAAGACTGTTAACAATCTCAATCTCTTCACCATCCATACTGATGCTGCCAATTGACTCACTGGTGAGAACCTTTGTTTTCGTAATGTTGAGCTTCAATCCATATTGAAGACTGCAGTCCTTGACTTTCTGCAGCAAGTGCTTCAGGTCCTCCTCAGTTTCAGTAAGCAGGGTTGTGTCATCTGCATAACACATGTTGTGGTTGAATCTTGCTCCAATCCTGATGCCACATTCCTCCTTATACAGCCCAGCATCCTGGATGATCTGTTCTGAAAACAGATTGAAAAGGTATGGAGACAGAATACATCAATGGCAGACACTTTTCCCGATTTTGAACCATACAGTGTCTCCTTGCTCTATTCTGATGTCTGCCTCTTGGAAACCCTGACAACTTGAGGCATCATTAATTTTCATATCTATCTAAAAATTATGAGTGAGATGTTCAATGTACTCTGTAATTGATGGAGCTCTAATTGAACAGAGAGTTAAACTACTAAACTACCCAAAGTTAGTGCAAATCCACTAGTGGTTCCTTTGGAGAAAGATAGGCAGTCTCCTACTATGCAATTTACAACATTCAGAAATCTGCTGAACAATCAGCTATTGGTTCAGATTCAACAGCAATGAGCTTTAAGGGTTTTTTTAATATAATTGAAACATTTTTTATAGAAGGACATTTGCTTTCAAATGCCACTTACAGGAGGAAAAGAAGAGTATATAACACCACCTCAAGTGTGTAATACCTCTGATTTGTACTTCTGCTTGGAGGTAGTTGAAGCCTTGAGGAAGATAACAAGAGTTGTTGTTGTTGTTATGTGCCATCAATCATAGCAACCCTATCCTCAATAGCTCTTAATTCTGTCCTATCCTGAGTCAATCTCACTCTCTCTGACACACTTGCCCATATTAACTAGCCCTGTATTCTGCAGTCACATTAGAAAAGTCAAAAAGTAAGGAGTCAAGCTGGAGAGCTGGTCACTCACTATGTCTCGGTCTGAATTTAATGATCTTAATGCAGAAAGTCATTAGCATACACTTACTCCTGACATGTTGACTGCTTTCATTATCTCACATTTCACCTTCATGATAACCCTGGAAACATCTTCAGCAGTGCCTAGGGTGCTCAGGCACTATTTAGGGCTATAACTGAGCCTAAGATACCCAATGAGGCGCATTCCTAGTGATGTACCAGAGGACCATATGATGACAGAAGCTGGAAGAAGGCCTGAGGATGCTGGTGAGGTCACTGGAGGTGGTGACCCTGTGCAGGGCTCTAAGACTCAGATACATGGAGGATGAGTGGTGTTCCCCACCCCAGGGTTGGGAATTGGGAGGCAGGAAACATCCCATCACCACCACTACAACCCTTAGTGCCTACCGTGATAGGGAAAGCATGTTGGAGAGGGGGAGAGGGCCACCACACCATGAGACTCATGAAATATGTTGAAGACACCCTATGGGTGATGAGAAACCAGGGAAGACGGACAGGCACCAATGATGACCACAGCTCCCAACTCTAAGATGAACTGATTTCACATCATGAACTTGAACACATTGATAAGTCAGGAGCTAGTAAGCCCAACTTAATGTAAAAACTGTCACCTGAAGGGAACTTGACACTGTCCTGAGACATGTGCAATGAGATCTCCGTTAAGAGATCTATTGTTTGGTAGTTTCTCAAGTTCTTAGCTCAGAATTCTTTAGACAGTAGTTAGACTGGAATGAAAGGCTGCCAACAGAAGTGCCCATATGTCTCCTTGCAACATACCCTGCTTACTGATACGAAAGGGAAGCTATAGGGTACTAATACAGGAACGGGACTACTTCAAGATGACAGAACTTGAAGTCTTATAATCTGTACTTCTTACCAAAGAAAAGTGATCCTTACTCTTTCCATCCTTACAAATGTGCCATCTAAAAGTAAATGTCGTACAGTTAAAAATGCTTAACGTGGAAAGATGTTCCTTAGGTGTAGTCCTCACACTATGAGCACTGGCATGGACTGAGGTTTGGCAGAGATACAGAGTCTTGGGTATCACCCTGGAACCAAAGAATCAGAATCTGATTTCCAGCAGGATCCCTCTGTGACTCATCAGCCCCTCAGAGTATAAAAGTACTGACTTAAAGGTCATATTTCTAGAATCAGAGGAAATTACTCAAGTTTGACAAATACAAGTGTGTTATTGTTGTGCATCATTTTGTTGACTGTGACTCAAAGTGGCCCGGCTCTGAACTCTGCCCTGTC